TTTTTTTTTTTTTGAGACGGAGTTTCACTCATGTTACCCAGGCTGGAGTGCAATGGCGCGATCTCGGCTCACCGCAACCTCCACCTCCTGGGTTCAGGCAATTCTCCTGCCTCAGCCTCCTGAGTAGCTGGGATTACAGGCACGCACCACCATGCCCAGCTAATTTTTTGTATTTTTAGTAGAGACGGGGTTTCACCATGTTGACCAGGATGGTCTCGATCTCTTGACCTCGTGATCCACCCGCCTCGGCCTCCCAAAGTGCTGGGATTACAGGCTTGAGCCACCGCGTAATTCAAGGCTTCACCGCAGGAAGACTTTAAAATGTAATCATTGGATCTGGCAAGGGAGGTGGCTCAACCCCTATAATCCCAGCACTCTGGGAGGCCAAGGCAGGTGGATCACTTGAGATCAGGAGTTCAAGCCCAGCCTGGCTAACAAGGTGAAACCTTGTCTCTCTTAAAAATACAAAAATTAGTTGGGCATGGGGAGCATGTACTATTCCCACTACAAAAGAGGCTGAGGCATGAGAATCACTTGAACCTGGAGTCAGAAGGTTGCAGTGAAGAAAGATCGGACCACTGCACTCCAGCCTGGGTGACAGAGTGAGACTCTGTGTGAAAAAAAAAATGCAATTGTTCAACACGCTGAGAGAATTCAGGATTTGACAAAATCCAAGAACACTCGTGAAAGTCTCCATACAGGTAAACAAACATCAAGCAGAGTGCCCACTCATTTTCTTAGGGACAATGAAATCTCAACTTGGATATTATAATTGGACTGAAGCTCATTATTATGAAAAACAAATCATGAAAATAAGAATATCTCTGCATTCTCTCCAACAGAACTAGAGCATCCAGAAACCAGCACCGAAATGGATTTGAATCTATCTGATGGGCATTCACTACTTTCAATAAAAGAAAAACAGGTTTGGAACTTATGAGATTTGTTCAGAATCTCAAAAATTGTGTTAGAGCTGGTACTAGAATCTCCTTCAGGGTCGGCATATTTCATACAAGGTGGCGTTACAATGTATTTGAGAAAAGCAGAAATGAGAAAATAATCTGAAAATTGTTAGCTGTTGGTGATACTCAGAAGAAAATTTTTTTTATTTGATGATTCAATATAGATTTGAACCAATTTTTGTCTATATCTGATAGTGTTTCAGTTTTGCAGTCAGGATTCTGGGGTCTGAACTACCTTCCAAAGAAAGTCTGCATTTAATCTCTGTTTCTCAAGGGACAGTAATGTGCTCTCTTTTTATTATCAAAAGTATAGTATTGTGGAATAAAGAAAGTACGTAATTCTCAATCTTAATGGATAACATACCTCCTTCTGGCATTTTAAATTCCTCTGATTTTGGCACACTCTTCCCCTGTACATCACGACCATCTCCGCATTCACCCCCAGTCTTTGACTGAGACAGCTTCTGGAGATCAGCTTTCAGGTGGGGCACTAAAAAATACAAAGATATAGATTGGAGCAGCGAAACAAGAATGATAAATGAGAAAATGATCATATTCTTTTCCTCAGTGTTATGCAATAAAAGCCTGTTGGCTACTGTCGTAATAAATGTGATGCAAAGATGTCCCACTTTTGTCTTCCTGTATTATGATATCTTATCTTAAATGACAATCTGAGGATAAATCACACCACACCTACATTTCCCATACTTTACCATTGTGTATTATCAACACACAGCTACTTAGGAAATCTGAAGACTGCCCCACAGATAGCATTTTAATCAAAACTTAATGTAATTTTCTGAGGGTGTACATCAATGTGTTGGTGGGCCTATGACACTTATAGTCATGACACTCATCCCTTGTTGAGGTACCTTGAAAATGTTGGGGTTAATCTTAATTAAAGTAATGCTTCTGTCCAAATATGTGACTTTCTGTACATGAATGTCATTAATAAACAGTACAAAATACAATAGCAAAATCACTGTCTTACAATGAGAGTATGGTAACTGATGTGCAAATAAATTAATGGGCATTGATCACTGTCATATTCTAGAACCCCCTTAACAGTGAATTGCTAAAATAGTCCATAGCCAAAATTCTGTCTATCTTTAGTTTGAAAATGCCATCTGTTGAGGAAACAATTTGTTTCATGATAATCTTATCGTACTTTGTGTTTAATAATTAAACAAATACTGAAATGACTTTTAAAATCCCCTTCAAAATCCTACTAATATAGTTATCTGCAGGCCAGTGTCCTGAATTATCCACCTTTTACCAAACATACTGTCAAAAATACACACCAAAGGAAACAGTGGCTGTCATTCATTGACCTCTTTTCTGGGGTTGCTATCCTGCTTCACTGAACTGCATTTAGTCCTGAGCCAATACTGAAGTATGTTACAGTACAGATACATTTGAGTATTAAGCATTTTTAAGCAAAATCATTCACATTTTCTAACACAGATGGTGGGAAGAATGTAAACCTTGGAACAAAATATAAATTCTTTCTCCATGAGTCAAGTGTTCTTGGTAAGTCTCAGTCTCTGAACCTCAGTTTTATTATTCATTTATTTATTTAGAGACCCAGTCTCACTCTGTCTTCCAGGCTGGAATGCAGTGGCACGATCTCGCCTCACTGCGACCTCCTCTGCCTGGGTTCAAGCGATTGTCCTGTCTCAGCAGGCTTAGCTGGGATTACAGACATGTGCCATAACACCCAGCTACTTTTTGGATTTTTAGTAGAGACGGGTTTTCACCATATTGGCCAGGCTGTTCTCAGACACCTGACCTCAGGTGATCTGCCCGCCTCAGCCTCCCAGAATGCTGGTATTACATGCGTGAGACACTGTGCCTGGCCACAGTTGTATTTACAAAATGAGGCTAACATCCCTTTGCAAATGGGCTTTATTCAGGGTGTTATAAGGTAGGGTAACTTGGCACTCCACATGCTGTTAAAGGGTGCTTACAACACTCTGGACACCATGGCTGAGAAGATCTTACCGCAACATCGTAAGAAGATCAAATTAAATTAGTACAATAATGTACATTTTCATACAACAAATTAAATGCTTTCATCTGATTTAGGAAGGAGTGTAATTTTAAGCATACAAAATGCAGCTTGAAGAAAAAGAGAAGATTCATCACACCCAGGGACTGCAGGAAGCTGCAAACTATACCCATCACGTTTCTAGCCAACACTCAATAAATGTTTGAGATTCTTTCCCAATGTTTTCTTTCCTCTTGTTACTGGTCATGGCATAAGGTGCATATGATGTGTGCATATGATGCACACATAGGCCTCCTCCCCCCATACACATTCTTTCTTACCCTTCCAAGCACTTCGAATCTTAGCTCCACCCTGATCTTCTTCTCTCTTCTGACCAGGTGTAGGATCCAGACTTTCAGCTGGTGGTTTTTCTCGTTGAGGCTCTGGCACACTGGGCTCCTGGGAAAACGGGTTTGTGTGCGTGTGTGTGCGTGTGTGCAGATTTAAATAATTGCTTTTAAATGCATGTCAATTATAGGCATATACACATTACATAGATGCTTCTGATCATACGCATGTTTAAAGATGTGCCCCAAAACTATTCCACATACCTATTCTTCATAAAGTCACTCTTCCCATAGAGAGGTTAGTCTAAAACTGTTACCCTCAATGGCTTTGGATGCCATTTTAATTTACGTTAGGTTGAATGTGTATATTGTGCTATAAATAAAAATGCAGAGGAAATCACCAGTCAAATCTGGGGAACACAAGATCACACATCCAGACAAAACTAGTATGTAGTCCTCTGGGTTACTCTTTCCTCCATGAGCTGCCACGACCACTTTCTTTTTAATTTAAATTTTAATTAATTAATTAATTTATTTATTTTTATTGCATTTTAGGTTGTGGGGTACATGTGAATAACATGCAAGATTGTTGCATAGGTACACACATGGCAGTGTGATTTGCTGCCTTCCTCCCCTTCACCTATATCTGGCGTTTCTCCCCATGCTATCTCTCCCCTCCTCCCCACACCCCGTCCCTCCCCCATTTCCCCTCAACAGACCCCAGTGTGTAGTGCTCCCCTCCCTGTGTCCATGTGTTCTCATTGTTCAACACCCGCCTATGAGTGAGAACATGCGGTGTTTGATTTTATGTTTTTATCAACATGGGAGAACTTCATCAGTATATATAAACCAATTCTACAACACTACGACAACATCAACAAAATTCTGCTAATAGAAAACATCAAATGTTAAGTCACTCACGGCAGGCCTGGTCAGCTGAACAAGTCGCACATGTCGTAATGGTCTATGTTTTCTTTCTCGCCCACTCATATTTCACTCTGCAAATAGAACAGTGTGCACTTTAGGAGGCAGAACTGGGTGGATGACCTGAGGTCAGGAGTTCAAGGCCAGCCTGGCCAACATGGTGAAACCCGGCCTCTACTAAAAATACAAAAACTTAGCCAGGCTTGCAGGCAGGTGCCTGTAATCCCAGCAAGTAGGGAGGCAGAGGCAGGAGAATCACTGGAACTCTGGAGGCGAGGGTTGCAGGCAGCCAAGCTTGTGCCATTGCATTCCAGCCTGGGCAATAAGAGCAAAACTACGTCTCAAAAAAATCAAATCAAACCAAACAAAAACAAAAACAAAAAATCCCAGAATATTGTGATTGGAAAAACGCACGTGAGAGGATATATTTGACCACTTCCAAGACCATATGTTAACTTGCAATTTTAAAAAATTTGGTAATACATTGAAAAGTCAGTCAGAGGGCATGTATAAGTGTGTATGCCTTCTGAGTTGAATACTTCCACAACCAATTAAGTTTATCAAGCTAGCTGAGCAATGCCTTAGGGCTCATGGCAAGAGACACACAGTATTTCCAATGAGGTTTTGTTTCATAACTGGTGTCTTCTTAGTAAGACATTTAAGAAAATACAGCTTGAGAATTAAAATTAATGTGCCCACAGCTTTTGTCACACACCCATTTGCTAGGCCCATTTCCAGTTCAAAATGAAGTTTTGTTGGAATGGAGAGCCCAGCCCACCCACTCGAACTTCCAAGACAGAGTTGAGAAGTTGCCACATAGTTGTGGGGGGTCCTCACCGGGCTGGCACCTCTGAGGTTCGCTATACAAACCCTGGGGATGGGAACACCAGCCCAGAGTGTTCCCACTTTCCAGACCCCTTCCTTACCGCCCACACCGTCGCAGCTCTGATCTGTCCTCTTTTAGGGGTTTCAGGCATTTCTGGGACTTGGATACTGACAACAGCACCCCAGCATCACCACAGCTTCACCTAACTGCCGTGCCCCGCCCCTGCCACCCACTCCAAGGCCCTTCTTCTTCCTTCCTTTTGACTCTGACAACATAAGAAGGCCCACAGCCATGGAGCCGTATGAGAAAGACGACAGCCTCAAGGCCCTTTTCCCTTGGAGTCACCGACCAAGAGGCCCGACCCTCGGAAGCCTGCTGTCTCCTCCTCACCCTCACTCACACTTCAACTTACAGTGGGATCTGCCTGTGGGCCTAACCAGCTGAATCCATGGTACATATCATCTTGGTCTAGGCCTATCTTGATCTCCCTTGCCAATTCATATTTCACAATGCAAACAGAAAGCTGTGACTGGGAAAATGCACTTGACAGGGTAGGTATATTTGATCACTTCCATAGTGAAATGCCAACTTGCAATTTTTTAAAGAAATTTTGTAATACTTTGAAAGTAAGTCTCGGGGCAAGTGAGTGTGTGCGCCTTCTGAATCGAATGCTTGCACACTCCCTTAAATTGGTCAAGCTACCTAAGCAATGTCTTAAGGCTCCTGGCCAATGACACAGGGTTATTTCCGATGAGGTTGGTTTCATAACTGGACTCTTCATCGTGGAGATCTTTAGAAAAATACAGTTGGTGAATTTAAACTGCAGTGACCACGGCTTTTATCACACACCCATCTCTAAGTCCATTTCCCACCTAAAATCAAGTTTTGTTGGAACGCAGGGTCCCACCCATTCGAACCTCCACCGTAGAGCTGAGAAACTGAGACGAAACCCTGGGTACTCCTCCCTGGACACCTGTGCCAAGCGCTCTATATAGCTGTGAGCTCCCGTCTCTAACTCACTGTGTTCCAGATCCTCTCCTCACCTCCCACCCAGCCCTTTCCCGAGTCCTTACGAAGAAGTCTGGAATATGTCCTGTTTCCGGGGCTCCAGGCCCTTTCAAGATTTGGATGCCTCCACAGGCACCCCTAGCGGTCTCCCCATCTTCACTTGACCCCGCAACTCCACAGCGCAACTTCCTCCCTCATTCGGAACCCACCACAAGGCCCAAAATGGCGCCCCGGCATGAGGAGGACTATCACCTCAAGATTCTTTATGTGGGAGGCCATGGACCACGCTGCCCCATGCCCTGGAAAGCCATAAGCTTCTCCTCACATTCACTCACATTTCCACTCAGACCTACCGGCTGAGTCTCAGTAGCGATAGAAAGGGTCTGGACCGCAGTAAAGTAACCCTCACACCCTCACAGCTCTGCGACGTTCACCACGTGGTGAAGGGGCCGATGGGAAGACGCCCAGTGAACATGCGCACGCAGGTGGGCGCACCAAGAGCATGCGCAGTGAGGTTGGTGCCCGCCTTGTGGGCTGTGGCCCCCCTCCTCGCCGCGCCCTGCCATGTCCCGCCTACCCCACCCCACCTGCACCCAACAGTTCTGCGCCCTGTCCCAGGTCCCCACTGAGGATTTCAGAATGTGTCCTTGGTGGGTGGTTTCCTGTGCCTCCGGGACTCAAATATCACAAAGAGTTTCCCCTTCAAAACTCACTGTATGTTCACGAGGCCCTCTTCTGCCCTATGAACCTGCTGCCTTCCCTGTCCAGGACCCCCACTGCAGCAAGGACAATGTTGCATCTTGGCCTGTTAGAAGAAGGACAGGGACCGCAAGGTCCTTTCCCCTAGGAGGCCGTGGACCGTGCCCGCGGGCTCCTCCTCACACTCTCTCACACTTCAACTCTGGGAGGACTGATCTGCGAACCTACTGGCTGAGTCCTAGTGGGCACCGCAGAAGGAAGTCACTACGTCGCCTTGCACAGCTCTGCAGAGACAGAAGGCAGACAGACGAAGTGCATGCCCACAAAGGGACTTGTGCAGCAAGGGGCATGCACACTGAGTCAGGCACATGCAGGTCTGGCCAGGGTTTTCCCACTGTTCCCTCACCGAACCCCAGGTTGTTTGTAGTAGAAAGAAAGGGACGCGAGACACTTTTTTGTCTCTTGCCCACTCATTCTCATGGATTCAGAAACGTTGAGAACACAGAGTTGTACATCACCCTTAGTAGAGGCTATGTCTTAGAAAGACCTTTTGTGACAGAAATAAAGAATTTTATGTCTATATTTACACATGCTTTTTTCTCAGGGTGTTTTTCTGTTGCCCAGGGTGGAGGGCAGTGGCATGACCATGCTTCACTGCAGCCTCCACCTCTTGGGCTCAAATAATCCTCCTTACACTGCAACCTTCTGCGTAGCTGGTATGGCAGGTGGCTGCCACCATGCCCACCTGGTATATTTAGTGTATTTAATTATTCCTTAAATGGCGTGGGGGGGCATCATTGTGTTGCTCAGGCTGCTCTCAACCACATGGGTTCAAGTGATCCTCCCATCTCTGCCAATTTTTATGCATGCTTTTTATAAATACTGTAGACCCAATCAATTCACACTTGTATGCTTTCTTAAGGTTGTGCTATTGCACATTTATACCTCTCAACTGGTAGCTGATTTCCCTGAATACCTGTAAAGTAATCAGTGGCCCACCCGTGAGTGTGGTTTTACCATTGGCTCACAGTGGCTTGGAAAGCTTGCAAGGGAAGTATTTCTTGAGGAAAGGTGCAGAGTTTCCAGTAACAATTTTGAAAAACAGTGACAATGTCTTTCTTCCTTCCCTTGTCTCTCTTCATGTTCCAGGTTTTCTGTTTTCTCCGCTATTAAAAAATCAGCATAAAGTCTTCTGTGATGAAAAGTTTTTATCTCTTTAATCATTCCATTTCTTCCTCCAGACCTTTTCTTCTGGAAAACACATTATAATGTAAATTTTGTGAAAAGATTCATCATATTTGCGAAATGGAGAGGGTGAAATCCTGAATTTCGAAAAAATTTAAAAATCAGTTTACATAACATCCATCCCTTTTTTCTATACCACCTATCCTGTGAGAATTGTTGAAAAGATTAATTCCTTGCTTGTGGCAACTGCGTTCAGTAGTCAGACTGCTGTAGCTTTCCATTAATATCACACATCCAGATGTAATAGCCACAAAACACAAGGCCATTTTACAACTGTACCCGGTTTTGGCCGGACGCGGTGTCTCACGCCTGTAATCCCAACACTTTGGGAAGCTGATCACCTGAGGTCAGAAGTTTGAGATCAGCCTGGCCAATGTGGTGAAATGCCATCTCTACTAAAAAAAAGAAAACTTAGCCAGGCATCATGGCAGATGCCTGTAATCCAAGCTACTCAGGAGGCTGAGGCAGGAGAATTCCTTGAACCTGGGAGGTGAAGGTTTCAGTGAGCGGAGATCGTGTCATTACATTCCGTCCTGGGCGACAGAACAAAACTCCATCTCAAAATAAAAACAAAAGCAAAAACGAATGTACTCGTCTTTAAAATCTCATTGTAATTTCCCTCAAACCTGTAGCACTAAATTCCACATTCACAGACTTACAAGTACCATGGCCAAGAGACTCCATCTCAAACGTTTGGACAGGGCTCCCACTGTGGGTGGCAGCCCAGCTGAAGACAAGACTGGAATGTCGCTCACACACCCACCCACTTTTTGAGACAGGGTTTCTGTCTTTAGCTGAAGCTAGAGTGCACCGCAGGACTTACAGCTCACCGCAACCCAGGACTCAAGTTCAAGTGATTCTATCACTTTATCTTCCTGAATAGATGGGACTACAGACATGTGCCACGATGCCCAGCTAATTTTAAAAATTGTGTAGAGCAGGGGTCTCACAATGTTGTTCAGGCCGGTCGTGAACACCACACCTGGCTTCAAGGGATTCTCCTCCCTCAGCGTCCAAAAATACAGGGATTACAGGTGTGAGCCACTGCATGTGGCCTTTTTTCCTCACCTTTTTTCTTTTATCTTTGGCTTGAGGTTTATCTAAGTCTTTGTTTAGTCCAGCCCAGGAAACTGATTTTTTCCCTCCCACTTGGAGGAAAGGGCAATTCAAACGTTCAGGATTCTTGATCTACTGAAAGTTCATTGGCAACAACTGTGTCCTATCTCTACCCGCCTGCAGGAGAAAACAAAAATTAAAGTCAGCACCAGACTGCATTTTTCCACTATATGTTATCCTGTGCAGAACAGTGGTTGAGTGATCCAGTGAGCCAGTTCTCTTTCAGTTGGAGGGATTATTGTTAAATGCTGTGAGTACATGTACTTTTCATAATAGACAACAGCTCGGCTGTGGCTTCATACTATGGAGAAATCCATAGGCTCCCAAGAGTGACTATTTCATCATCACTACCCCTTGACTCTTCTTTATTCAAAGAAAGATTTCACCATGTTATAGTGAGTCAAGATCTTGCTGGTGAATCACACTGTTGCTGCCACTATGTCAGGGACGACCAAGGCCACCCTCACCTTC